CGGTGCTTGCAGAGAGCTGAATAGAGTTCCCTCCTTTACTGCCCTGAGGAAATTTCAAGTCCTGCACCTGGCCCTCAGTAATGAGCACTGCAACATCCAAAACTAGGTAGACCAGAGGAAAGGGAAAAAAAAAACCAAAACAAGTGGTAAAGAAGGAGAATGCACAGAAAGTCTCTTGGCCAGATTGCAATATGCCAGATGACAATATTTCCCCCACTCTTTATTCAGTTTTCTCACACTGCTGTCCTAATTTGCCACCATAAAGGCAGATCTGTACCACATGCTGCAAGGACAATCAGTTTCTTTAACTAAATCCAGTGCACAGCACTAAAATGACAGCAATGTAATAGTGATAACATGACATCAAACTTTGTTTTTATGTGTGCCCCCAAAATATACGCTTAAAAATATCACACATGCATGTTGCAGACAAACGTTAAATTTTGACGCTCCTAATGTCTATGCAGGATCCTCTGCTAACAAATTTAAAACTTTAAATATTGGTTTAGATATAAAGTTTTAAAACAGTCAGCAAACAAATACCTATGTATACTTATGCCATGTGTTTAGCTAAATCAGTATTTGCATCTAAAAAAAATTCTAGTTTTTTTCCTAAACATGAAAAGGTTTATAGGTTATAGAAGGTATAAAGGTTTATAGAAAACCATTTTTTGGTTCTTCTAAAAAATATTTAAATTGAAAAATTAGATGCCACTCAGCCTTACTTCAGTATTAATTTTCTAACACATTGTATATTGGGAAGCCTTCATGGGATTACCACCAAAATCTGGATTCCCTTGGATATGTAAAATTGTATAGGTCAGAGTGGTCAATTTGTTGACAAATATCTGCATTATATTAAACTGGTCTAAGTATAGGTCTGTACTATAGACGGACAAGATTTATGAGATTAGGGAATTACTTCTTTCTCTAAGCCACACCTATGTATGTGTGCTGGGAATTCACTCTTGCATGGCATCAGTAATGTGTTACTATGACTTCAAGACAGCTTATCACAAGAAGTGATATTCGGACAAGTCTACTGAGCTCCACGGAACTGCTTGTGAACATCCCGAGAGAGATTTCTGTGACTCTACCCATATTCTTTCAGAAACAACTGGTGCAGTTACTTTGATAACGGACTGTAACACCTTTCCCCATCCTTTCCCAGTATCTGTCTACTCAAATTAAAAACTAGGCAGAATCATCTTCGACAGTTACAAATACGCAGACATTGAAATGTGAAAAGTCTCATTTCTGCAGTCTATTCCAAGTCTCCATCTCAGTACCCCTCAAATTAGCAGACGTTCAGCTTCCCTGTGCCTCACTGAGACTACATTAATCTCTGTAATAGGATGAAGGAATTTTAATTTTATGCATAGCAATGATTTTTGCTTTAACACACCCCGCGTACCAGTATCTGCACATCTCTAATACCAAACTCCTTCATTTCTCTGTCACCACTTAAATTCCAAATTATGATCCAACTAACTTCAGCTATTTTGCAGTCTCTGGAGCATAGCTATTCTGCATTATGGGAGATGTAGTTCACTGAACACATTTTTACCTGAAGGCAGTCATGTTTAATATAAACATTTGGCCTATGTTCTGAGTGCCTAAAATACCTAACTGGCAGAGTACGTTACAAGAAAGTAATTTAAATTCATTAGGAACAGTTTATATATAACAGGAAAGCATTTCTGCAGCTCTAGAGAAAGCAGTTAACTCAAAAAAATCCATACTCTGCCATTTAAGCACTCTTCATATCCATACATTCTCCTAACGATTTTTCAGTGGTAAATCAAGTTTGCAACATCAACCACTTTCCATTTTATACTGTATTAATGACACTAAAGACTAATGCTAATTTTGAAGAGCTAAACAAGAAAAGTGTGTCTCACCCACTTAGGATCATTTACCTTTCCACCAAACATTACGCAGCTCCTCTTTCAAAGAGTATGTTGGGCTCTGGAGTATTTTTCCTGACTTTGCATAAAGCAATGTGCAGGACTAACTTACGCTTGAAAATAAATGGACTTACCGATATTTTCTGTAGGCATTGAGACTCTAGTTGGTTCTAAGAGATTATCAGCCAAGACAAAAGCCCCTTCTTCTAACGTATCAAGTAGCATTGTGGCTGCATGGGCTTGTTCTGAAGAATTCATGTCCTTCCAGGACTCCAGAGCTTCAGGCCTGAGCAGGTTGTCCACTGTATCCACAATTGCCTGCATTCATTAGAAAACTATTATTAGGTCTGATTGCCCTAGGCAGCTGGGGAAAATTTCCAACGTTATCTGGTGACAATTATAATACTTAACTGTCAGAATGATTTACTGTGATTTAATGGCACTAGAAGACTATTTTCAACATAAAAATATTTTTCATCCTCTTGCTGGATAAGTGCAGTTAGCCACTAGCGTTGTGTGGTCTCTAAGTGGTAAACATGCAGATTTGACTCGCCTCATATCAGATACAAAGACAGTCTTATTAATGTGCTGAAAAATGTAAAAATAAATGCCAGAAGTTTTGCCTGAAGCTTTCATCTTGAAGTTAATGTCAAAATGTATGAATTCTCTTTAAAAATACTAATGCCCAAATTGGCATTCTGCAGTTTAGGCTGCAATGGCAATAATACACTTCTGGAAACTTAGCCCAACTCGTGCAGCCACAGCACTATAAACTATTTGTCTATGACAAACTGCCTTCTTTATTAGAGGAGGCATGAAATGAAGCTGACTCAATGGATATAAATTAGCTTGAGCAACTCTCACTCCCCCTCCTGATCCTGTACCTGTTCATAGATACTTAAAAAGATTACTAACTCCCATTCCTGCACAAAGGTCAGTTAAAAAAGGAAATCAATAGAGCAAACAAGATGTCCACTGACTGTCCCTGTTATCAGTGAAGGCAAAATCGTAAAACTGAATAAAGCTGCCATTTTAAAAAGTCTTTCTTGTAACAAGTCTATGATCATGTTTTAAGGTTCATTAAGCTGCATATAAAGTAACAGTAAATAAGGAAGAAGAAGAATTCCATGACATGATTACATTATTTTTACAAAATAATCCAATCAGAGTAATCAGTTAATCAATTGCAGGCAGGCTCTTACACTAATGCATAATGTATCTGTGCGTTGAGTATGCTGTGCATTGAGCACACCATGCACTGCTGAAACACCGTTTACTCTGTCCCATTTACCTAGTCATAATGTGTCATTAAGCATATATATAATTTGTTTGATCAATTTGAAAGCATTGGGAATGGAAACAGAACACATTGTACAAACAGAAAGATGTCGGTCTCTAATACTATATTGTGCAAATAGACGAATAGGAAAAGTTGGTCAAGGCTATTGTCAGAGCAACATTAATTAACCTAATCCATTTTAATATCCTCTTTCTGTCTGCATTGTGAGCCACCACGACCTTCCTGGCAGGTGGAAGATACTTCGAAGTGGCATTAAAGCCTTTTTTCTTTCTCTAATGGAAGACAGAATAGTCAAAATGCTCACACTGATACTGCTGCAGCCATTAACTAGAGTGGAACAGAAATTGGTCTGCAGAGGCCAGATTCATTAGTCACCAAGAAATACAGATTGGAGCCTCTAATCTGAGGTACAAATGAATCCTCTGTCACAAAGTGGGAACTTGCTTCATTTGCATAGTGTAAGTCAGCTTTTGATTTATACTTTCAAGAGGTTTATTAGTCTTATCTAAGCAGAGAAGCCCATTTGAAACCTACAGAAAATGACACTGGCTGGAAATTAAGGTTGTGCTATGGTTTCTTGTGTATCTACATAAAGCACTGACAGTACGTATTTGTTAATATGAAATGCTTTTTTATTTATTATGGGATAATCTAGCTCTGCATTTTTCCTGTTGAAAATGATCTCCTGCCCAATATTTCTGAGGTGTTCTCTCAGTCAGAGGCAAGTGTGCAGTGGGAAGATCACACAGCTGTTGGAGTAACACCATCACTGCTCATCTTCATGTTTACTCTTAAAAATGAAGTATGAAAACTCAAATCTACTCAAACCATATCTGCATTACTGTTAAAAAATATTCTCTAATAAAAAGCTATTAGTATTATTACTGAGAAGTGAATTTCTTTCCAGGTCTTTGTCTCTTTTTGTCAAATTTTTGCATAACTGGACATCTCCCATCCACTTTCAGGGATGCAGGATAAAAGCCAGAAGTGCCCTGTACACAGAAATGCCTCTTAACTAAGAGTCTAAATTATTGTATTATGTTGCAAAGTATTTCAAAGTTATTTTCAAAAATAATTTACATTTTATCTCAGAGAGTACAAGTAAAAATCAGTAATTTTAAAAGAAACTTTGAAAAAATGTGCAATAAATTTTTTCAGAGACAGACACGATCTGTTCTAGGACTTTTTCTCTTCTCAGAGGTGCGAGGTGGTGTTACTGGCATTGTATTGTAGAGCAGAAGCTGGCCACTGCAGACAACCATTCTACAACAGATGAAAAAAACTGAAAATCAGTTAGCAATGTGTTACATGCCTTCCATGTAGCCTGGTTAATGGGACAAGTGTCACACGTTTTACTAGTAAGGTTACAGAAATGTTTGTCTTTGCATTTTATCCTGAAGTCATTGAATCTGGCCTTTGTAACAACTCTTAAAACTGTAAGAAAGAGTGATGTCACTACATATAAAAATACACAAAGAACAAAGCAGGCTATATAATGTACATTTTTCATGCAAGCAGATTAACCCGTAACAGTCTTTGATATAAAATACTATCCAAGCTGAAGTAATTTCTGTTGTTAAGTTTTTCCCCTACCCGAAGTTGTATTATGAGAGAGAGATTTCCAATTCAGATAACCATTTCTGCTCTTTAAGTTTTGAACAAGTTGAGGTAAAAGAGGTATAAACTTTGATCTTTAATTTTTTTTTTTCTGAGTGTTATACCTGTGCAAAGCCAACATTTGTACAGCTGATATGGGGCACAATACACATTTATCAAAGACTGAAATACATAGGATCATGCAGCAAGATGATAAAGCGTGGCAGGTTGCTGAAGCAGGGAGAAAGCAGGGTGACAGCACAGGAGAGATACCTTAAGGTAAGCCCTGCATGTCTTCTCACGTTTTTGGAGCTTTTTAGTAAAAAAGAGAAAATGAGAAGTTAGACAAGTTCTGGAAAGCTCAAAATTACCAAGAAATTAGACTGGTGTTTCAAATCTTGAATTTGAAGTACAGCCTGGACATTGACCTTGCTTCTGTCCAACAATGACTATAAAAAACTATCACATAGGAAACATTTTTCCCCAGCCTTTATACAGGTGCCCAGATATCTTTGCCCAAGCGGTGGGATTTGTGTGAAAAGGTCAAAGGAGAGTATCCTCGTGTGGGCAATTTGATCAATCTCTGGGAAAACTCTTCTAACAGTAGCTAGGAACTGTAAATAAAACTATTGGAAAATAACACAGGAGTGCATGGAGATCTGTAGAGGAGGCTGAAAAAATTTGCAGCTTGTTGACTAAGCTGATGCAAGGAAGAGGCCGAGAAATACAGCATCTCCTCTGAGAAAAAGAGGAATGGTAGTAACACTTGTGATTTGTATTTAAACCACAAAGACTTAAGTTTTCTCCGAAATGTTTCTCTGAACATCATTCCTGAGAAAATACTTACTTGTGTTCTAGATACACATTGTAAGGTATTTTTATAAACATCAATTGTAAGTGATGTTGGTGTCTTTAAAAGGCTAAGAAAGTGCTATTATTCTGCAGGAAGTCAGATTAAAATAAAACCCTGCACCTATGCAGAATCCCACTGATTTTATTACATGTTCAGGGTTAAAAGGATCACTGGATAAACACGCTGATTTGTTACAGAATTTCTGAGAGCTAATGCCCATTTCCCTCACACTAGTTATAATGCATTCCAGATTTTAATAAGGGACACAGCTATGTATTTTAGGACCAGGCAGCTATTGTAAATTGTATCGTATTCCCTAAAGAAGGTAATTGCAACTTTCCGCTGTGTATTTACTGCTGTTTTCTCTTACATGTTTATTCCAGAACTATAAGCATGTGGAAACAAAGTATAGATTAGTATTTCTGCAAGGAAAAAAATAAAGAAACCAAGGGCAATGGTTATCCCAGCGGGAGAAGGTGACAGGAGGTGTGTACCTTGTTATAACTCCTTCCAGCAGAGTCTTTTTCACTGGGCCGCAGTTCCTGCAGCTGAGCATCCAAAATGTCCACAAGCTGCTCCATCAGCCTCACTGACGAACTAACATCGCCAGCAAAGACAGGTCCTTTGGTGTGTTTAGCCAGTTCATTGGCCAGACTAGCAGCATTTTCTCCACTTCTGATCTGAAATGACAAGTTTATATTATCTCAGCAGGGTCCCTTGTTCTGCTTGTGGCTCCTAATTCCAATTCCCCATGTACCTTTGTTGTGGTGAAATAACCATTTGCACATACATTGAAATCTGTAACTAATTGAGACCAATAACGTTCTCTTTATCTCAGAAGATTAAAGGTTCTTAGATCCGTGACACACAAAAGCAGTTCTTGACAGCCATCAAAACCAGAAATCAGACTGGGACTTTTGGGCTAGATATTCTGTTCATCCTCACTTTTATTTTACTGCCATTATCAGACAGTAAGAAATCTATTTGTTCATCCTAGTGCTTGAGGCATTTGAAAGTCAAGTAGCCTGGTACTGACAACAAATTATCCAGTTTTCATAAACTTAGTACATCTCAGTAGGGAAGAAAAACACAGAAAGTGGCTCTGTGCTCTAATCATACTGTTATTAATTCACTCAGAAGAAAATCTATTTATTACAGTATAATTTTTACTAAACCAAAAACCTTTCTGTATACCACAGTTTTTTGCTGCATGATTTACAATATTTCATTTATTAAGCAAATACAGCTTTTGTTTTTTGAACACCAGCAAAGCTACTTTGCTTTAAATAGCGATGAAAACACGTAATCACAGATTCAATAGAGGAACTTAAGAGGGAGACTGTACCAAAACACATATGCACACAAAGTACACACAACTCCTTATACTTTAAATGAACACACAGCAATAAAGACAGCTTCAACAAACTGAATTATTAATGCTCAGAGTTAAAATCCTTAATCACCAGTGTAGAGCAGATTAAAAGGTTTCAACCAACCTTCTGAGCCAGCTGATTTACCCAGTGTGAGGTGCAGTTGCTAAGATCAGGGCCTTTGGGGTTCCACATTCCCGTTAAGACCACGCAGAGATACGAGGCAGTTCCTACAACAAATACAGAAAACTACAGTGAAATGGAAACCATTTTTCTGCACACATTCAGGAAATCGACTACACTGTGCTCCTAAGCAATGTTAAATTCTGAATGCTGCTAATGGCAGTAGTTGACAATAATTGACAAAAACGTAAGGAAATAATGTAGATTACAAACAGCAATAAAAAAGTCAGTGAAAACTACCAGACGTTTTCTGCAAACAAACAAAAAGCCCTTGATTTTTCCTGGAGCTCATCCAGAGGAGAGCTCATAATGAGAAAGGCAGCAGTAAGCATGTTTCACAACAGTCCTCAAGCAAAGCCCTAAAATTTGACCTGGATTCTCAAAAGCACATGCACAAGGTAATTCTGTGGCTACGCTCAAATGCTGCTTCCAGATTAAAACTTGACCATTGCCTGTAGATACTGCATTCTCCAAGTAACAAAAAAATCGTGTGACAGGCAGCTTGAGATTAAAAAAACAATTCACCATAAGAGAGCAGCACATTGCTTTTGAAATGTCTGCCTGAGATCAAGATATATTTTTAAAGGCAATACCTCTTGTTCCTTTGGGGCAAGGGCGTTCAACCATCATTCCTCTTTGTGTCTGAGGCCAGCTAATCCCTCTGGCCTCAGTCGGTTCACAGAATCTCTCTGGCAAAGGGAAAAAACTTGTCACGGGAGGAATTTTGGTTGTGGAAATGGGTGGCGGTGGCTTGGGTCCTCTGCTTCCTTCCTTTGTTCCTCCAGCTAATGTTGTGCTTATGGGACCTTTCTGTGATGTAGTGCTAGTGGTTGACACTGTGGTTTTGTATAGCTCTGCTGAAGAGGTTATTGTCACTGCTGTGGTAGGCACTGCACAGAGAAAATTAGAGTAATAATAAAGTAAATGACTTCAAAATTATATATTAAGAAGTTCTTTATATGTTATTTATGTAGTTTTAAAGGATGCTCTTGTGTCTCCTTTATCTTAGTATGACTCTTATTGCTTTTCTGGGTGCCTAAGATACAACTTTGACTGATGTTTTTATTTTATTCCCAGCTCATACCAGTATGATGTTTCAGCACATTCCCCAAATAATCTCTTCTGTAATAAAAATTGATAGTTACATTTCTAAAAGCTGATAGGCCTACTGAGTTATCAATACATAACAAACATGCTCAAAGCAATTAAAGATTTCTTAATCACTTTTTCAGAAGGAATAACTCAATGGACAGAATCATTTGAATCAGCGTGCTGTAAACAATGTGGTCCAGCTTTAACAACAAAGGTAGTGGGCTGTAACTAATGAGACCATTTGAAAAAAACAGACCCCAAAACTTCAAGTCACCCAGTACACACCTTCCAGGAAAATAATTATGGTAACATCTTCCTACCCGGCAGCCATTCTGCTTGAGAGAGCTGCAGCATGCCTGATTAGCTCCAAACAGAAGTGGCACCTAGCATGTACGAGGTGTTCTTGTGTTCGAACACTTTGGGCCTTAACATCCCTTTCTGATAAAGCAGGTATGAAGATGCGACTCGTTCAAGCCAGTGGCAAGTACGTAGTTTAATCTTTTATGAAACACTAGGATCGGCTTAGGCCAAATCACTTCTGCCTGGGACTCACAGCTGCTCACTCCACTGACCCACATCGGGAACGCATCGCTGGAGCTGCTGAGGTACAGCCCGAGCTCTGCCAAGGTTCTGAGGCTTTGGAGAGATAATACCAGTTAATGCTAGTGGAGAACACAGCCTGGAATTCATGTTCATCAGCTTCAAATATCTATTGAGCAATGGCTGAAATAATGCAAGTGAGCAAAGTAACTGAAACAGTTATCATTAATTATTTCCAAATCTTAATTAGTGTTCCCAGTGCTTTACAAGAACATAAAAGCACAGATCCTTGTGCTGAGAATAAATAAGCTAATACCATGTATTTTTAAAATCCTGATACAAGAATAAATGAAACTCATTTATTATTAACATCAGTGGATAAAGTGGCTTTTTTCTTTTTTTCTTCTTCTGCAACGCCCCTGAACTCTGACTTACTGGACAACATATCTTCTGTAAGATAAATCATAAACAAAAAACAAAAGAAGCGCTGCCTCACTTTCTTTTGGCAGATGTTTTTTAAGTTAGTGTTTTGAATATGATTGACTTTCAGTAGTTTGGCAGATAATTATTTCAGAAGCCTTTTTCAATTATATTTCAGTTATATTAGGATTCTCAAATATGTATTTATCTTATTTTCACATGAATTCAGAATGGAGTTTTTGAACATCACAATCTGTTTTTAAAGACTAAATGCAAAGATGTGCTTTTCATCCCTCTCTTGCTCACAAATGAGGAACTTCTTCAGTGCTGTCTTCTCTTCAGTCTCATTCTTGGCTGCTTGAATACAGTCTGTGTAATTGTGCTAAATTCGTGGTGTAGCCAGCTACTACGAAACCCATTGAAATCCTCAGATCTGTTCTGCAAGTACTTGCCTGACATCTTGTGAAACCGCTGTAATTTTCTTTTGATTACAATGCATCCAGCTTTACTAGTGCTTTCCCAATTAACATTTGTCAAAAGCATTTGCAATCACTTGCAAAAGTGTCAGGCAACACCTGCTGAATCAGGTCCTGAGGAACGGGAAACTGGTGGGCACAGAGAATGATGCAGGGAACAACCAATTATTACTATCTATCCCCTAACACATTGTGCTAATTAGTACATATTTAATCACTGAAATGTGTATTAGCATTATTGCAATTACTACTCAAAACCTATAATGTTTAGGATAGCTTTGTCCCAGGAGCAAAATATCACCATAAGAATTCATAACAACTCTCTTAAGTCCGGTTGTGAGGTAACAATTTTCAAAACATATTCTGTGCTGCACCCTGAGCTAAAATATCCTGATGTCATTACTTTAGGTAGAACAATTTGAATGCTATCCATTAAAATCAGTTTCAAAGCTTATCACTTACGATTCAAAAATGAACTACATAGTAGGACATACTTTAGAAGTATATTTGTAACCTAACATTTTAGGAGAAAGACGTCAAAACCACCTCTTTCATAAAACTGAAAAAAATACAAGTAATTTCTAAGAGATTTTATCTTGAATTAAATTTTTAAGAAGAAGAAGTCAGTGTATTTAAGAGTATACCAGGAAACTTCAGACAGTGCTGGAAATCTGGGAATATTTGAGAAAATAAGAAACTACCAAACACATCACTTTAAGGAATACATCCTCCTTTTAGAAGGCAGATCATTTTATTTTTAATGACCTGTTGGAGAACATGATCTGCAAGGCCACTCTGCTGAGCTGCAAGAAGACACATGATAGCTGCCACCACCTGATGTGTCTCGTTCTGAAAGCTGAGGGTGATGGCATCTGCGGACTCACACGCAAGGTCTTGCAGAGTGCTTTACCAACAGAAGGTAATGCCAGTGATGATTAATATGCCACAACTAAGAAGAAGAACAAACTCCATGTTGAGGTTATTAACCTATTGTTCCAAGCAGCAGGGGTGAGCCTCTCTACAAGGCTGAAGATATGTAATTTTTGTCCAGTGCCAAAAAAGCCACTTTTACAATGTGCAATTCTATTTCTGACTTTTTGGCTAGGCTTGACATGCTGAGAAGAAACTCCAAACCTTTTTTAAGAACAGGCATGTCTCGTTATCAGCTGAAGACCGTCCTTGTGAAATTAAAAAAAAAAAAAAAAAAAAAGAAAAAAGAGCAATAGGAAGTAAATCCACAGACTCAAATTGGGGGTAATTAATTTAAATTTGTTTCATGCAGTTCCCAACAGCTGATGTAAACAGTTACGCATACTATCCGTTTCTAAAAATGAAGACACCACTGGAGTAAAACTTAACACCTGTTTAACAGTGTGATGTCTATAAAAACATAACACAATTGCCTAGGACAGCAGGGGAATAGTAACTTTGTTCCCCAACTGACAGTGAAGAGTAGATTTAGAGAAGGCACACAAGCTATCTAGTATTCTTTGCCAACAGGTTTCTATTCTAAGCAGGCATAAAATACATTTTTTAAAAACCAAGCCAAAACAAAAAAATCCCCACCCAAAATACAACTCTAACCTTAGATTTAAAATTGTGTTGAAATGCCCAGATAATGCACCACTTCTGAAATTACTAATGGTTCTATTTTCATCTCCATCATATAGGTAATTGTAGAAATCAGCTGCATGTATTTTTCATGTAAACATATGCTCTTATAGGACAGGTATTCCAGTGTATTTGGACATGTGAATAGCTATGTGCCCGCCTTTGTTTTCAAAAGGTGTCTTACACTGAGCTGCCATGTAAAGCAATGGAGATCTGAAACCTGTGCAAATCCAGATTTCCCTGCCTACTGCGTATTACTGCTGTGTATCTGTTTTCATGCTTCAGTGAATAGCAGGGAAGTCACTAAGACTCATGTAATTATCTATAGGTTCCAGCTATTATGCTAGCCAGCACTCTGTTGACCCTGCCAAATCCCGTTTAGCTGACAGTGAAATGTTTACACAGCCATTCATAAATATATACCCTGAAAATGATAACAAGTACGCCACAAAATTAGCAAAATACCTGTGATCAAGAAATGTGCTATCTGGCCCCTATTATGTTGTCTTTACTTGTACAACCACTCTTTAATCAACCTATAGTGTATCAGATTCGATATAACAGTAATGATCTAATTTACTTAACAATTTGCTGCATGACTTCGTTGTAGATTCTTGGTGTTACAAAGATTTAGTTGTATTAGTCTCCTATTATTTCAAGCCCTTAGTGATGGTATTTTCCAAGTTTCTGTTCTGTCCACACTCATGACATCCATATTTTCCTGCAGTGATCCAATAAAACTTAATGATGGGTATCACGGTACAAAAGGGGAGACAACTTCAGTTTGAACAATTTGCACAGTTAGCACAAATTGGGATGAGTGTAGATGAAATCTCTCCCTAACGCACTAACACAGAACAAAAGGATTTATCTTCTTCTTGTTACCAAGGAAACCCTACAATGTAATGCTCATATTAACTTTTTAGGGGGAAAATTCCCTTCATTCTTCCTGATCTTTTAACTTAAAAATCCTTTAAAACCTCCTGTTTCAGCAAGGATTCATTTGGTCCCTTGGCTACCTCCTTTAGAATGAATGTAACAGGACATACCCACTAAATTTACCAAGGATATAAAAACTCTGGTCTGTTTCAATTTTTTCATAGCGGCTTTTCGCAGGGCCTGATATATTTTATTTTGTTTCTAAATTATGGGTTTTATTTTTAAATGTAATTTTTAAACTTAACCTCAGAAAAATGGGATTTACTGCAGTATCTGAGTGGTACTTGTCAGCCATAGCTCTGAAAACCATTTCTGCATCTATGTCAAAGATGTAGACTGAGGCGTAGAAGAGGCTGAATGTTTTACATGTTGCACTGCCTTGGCAGACACGTTGCAAATGCCAGGAGACACAAGCACTGCAGAAACAGGATGCCTCTGAGAAAACTGCAGCATTTCCTCAGCATCAGATGTGTAGATATGGTGCACAGGGACATGTTTTAGTGGTGGACTTGGCAGTTTTAGGTTTACAGTTGGACATGATGATCTTAAGGGCCTTATCCAACCTAAATGTTCTATTCTACATCTATGTACTATATTCCCATGGGAAGAGAGAAGACAAAACAACACATGAAGAAGGAGGTGAAGGGAGAGCAGCAGACTGCATTGTCAAGGTAAAACAGTAGCCTGGCTGCCACATCCGCTAGAAATCTGTAGAGTTCTCCTGAAGATTTAAGATAATAAAGGTACAAGGAGCACATAACGTGGACAGTTTAAGAGGAGAAAATGGCACAGGTCTGCAGCAAGGTCAAGGTCAATATCAGGTTAATTATAGTGGTATTTCAGAGGTTTCAATAGGTAGATTTAAAAATGAAAGAAACAATAGAAAGAAAAAGGCAGGTGTGGGGTCATGGATGAGTCCAAGATTTTGGCTCTGGGAGCAAACATAAACCCTTGAGCTCAAAAGTGTGACTCTAATGTGACAAATCCATCTTTCATGTAGGAAGAAAGACTGTTGTTTTTGAAGCACTTGGTAGTTGGACTTTATGGTGTAGACAAGAACTGATAGCCAAGACAGACAGATGAGAGGAAAAAAAAAATCAGTATGTGTCTATATATCATTATTGCTCCCACGGCAACAGAGGGAACACAGATCGCTGAGTTTCCCTCAATGGCCCCAAGTTAACCGTTCGAACAGAAATGGCAACGACTTCCAATTTTGAGGCACTGACCTTGTGACACCATTAAATACTTGATATTAAAGTACCACTGCAAAAGACACTAAAAAAAGGTTCTTGTGTAGGTGACTTAAAGAGTATTATCCTATGTCTTTGAGTAGATGATTAAGTAATCTGAGTCAACAACAAAAAAACCCAAACCAAACCAGAACAAAAGAAACACAAAAACACCCTTCATCAAATGTGCTGAAAATCTGGTCTAATTCTGTATGAGACAAAAAAATCCAAATGTGTATTATACATATAGATCCTTTAACTGTGTAACAAGAGAAGGACTGATTTTTTATACAGACTCTATGCTGAAACAAAGAGAAACTGAGAATATAATACAAATATAAGAGAGTTAGAAACTATCCAGAATCTTTTCTTGGTTTTCCAGCAGTTTTACATTTCAAGGACAATTATATTAAAAAACTTTTCCTTTAATTTAGTAGCCTTTAACTACAGGCAATTGGCTTAGGCAAAAGAGGAAATGAACTGAAACATATTCTTAGATCTGCTATGTACAGATCCATACAAAATTAAAATTATGGGTGTTGGCTTTATATAAGGAAAAATACTGTTTGCAAATACATGCATTACATATTCAAATAAACCCAGCACCTTCATATGGTTTCTATGTTTTGAAAAGGCCATAATCAAACTATATTTACTGATGTCATTATGCATTTAAAACTCAAGCTCATAAATCACTCAAAATAGACTCCGTCTCTGCCTTCATGGGTGAACGGGCAAAGAGCTCAGACGAGAGGCAAGCACCCTGTGGTGTGCCCTGGACCCCTTCTTGCCTAAGTCTGGTTGGAATAAACCATTTCTTCTCCTTCCTTGCACGCCAGCAAGGAACCCAGGAACATTAAAGAGTGCTGGTGGACACCCAAATCTCTTTCTGGTATTAGATGGGATGTGGCCAGCACATGTACTGAAACTCACGATCTTGGAGACTCTCATAATAAAAACATTAAGAAATGTCTTACTTGAGACCTTTGATGTTTTACTAAGGCAAAGGAAGAATTCCACAAAGCCTTTTCTTCTCTCCCTGCCCTTCCTTAACACTTTTTCTTCAATGCAATGATTTAAAGATTAGCTTTTGCCACATTCATGGCAGCTGCCTGAACTGTGAAAGCTCCTTAGAGCCTGCACCTCCATTTTCCCTGTTACTATTAAAGCTTTGGAGAATTTAAAATGTATCTTCATCTCAGTTAAACCGAATGAAAAGTGACATGCATGAGAATGTATGAAAATGAAAGCTTTAAATTTTTTCTAATTACATAGGTGGGTATGTCTCTGCAAAGAGCAGCCCCAAAACCTCCCTGAGGAATGGACTAGCTTGATATACAGGACGGCTTATCAGGACGGCTGCCCTTGCAGCCAGAGCTCAGTCCCCAGACACCCGAAACCTGTCTGAGCCTGGCCATGTACTGCCAGGGACTGGACAGATCATCACTTGGCTCTGGAGATCACTCATGTATCAGTTCTAAACTACCTTGTTCTGCTGTGTACTGCGTACTCGTTTACCTGGAAAAGCTCTATGTATGTTGATATAATCGTGTGCACACTACTTAGTTTGCAGTGCTGTGCCTGAATCAGCTTCACTGAAGCAGGATAGCTACCTTTCATGTGGAGAAGCCATTATTACTACTTTTTTGAAGTAGAAAAAGCGGCTGCTAAACATGCATACCAGTTAGATGAGAGAAGTGAAGTATTACCTTCATTGCTAAAGGAGCTTATCAACATTCCATTCCTTGCTGTATGCATCTTCTGCCACGGAGCGTTTATCTTGGTATTTACTCTCCTCTGCAGATGTTAATATGCAGCTGTGCCTGTTCATGTCATTTTTAGAGATTTCTGAGCCCTCAGGAACTCTGTTTTTTTCTCCTCTTTTGGCAGTTAGTGTCTTTCCTTTTAGCTAAGTTGTTCTAACTTCAAGTGAGCTGAACTGCAATTGTAATGGACTTATAGAGAAACCTGCTAAAAACATGTTGGATAATCTTGTCTAACCTGGCATTAGAAACTGTGAAAATAGGGCTGCAGAAAAATACTTATGCTTGGTATTGCACATTAACCCCACACAGCTCCTCCGGGACCTTTCAGCACACATCACTCCCAGCTGCTGGCGCCAAGAAGTTAAAAGGTCTGCATGTATGTTGTAATCGATTCAGAAGCCAGGTAACACCGAACGAATAGGAACAGGCTTCTGGCTCAGGATGAATGAACTCAAACTTAGTTTAGCTATAGAAGTCAAAACGACTGATGGTACACAGTAAATAAACAATTCCTCAACTCGCTCTTAAACACAGAAAAGCTAAACACTTGTATGAAAAGAAAAAAAGGCAAAAAAAAAAAAAAAGCACAAGCCTCTAAACCAAATAAAGAGATTCTCTCTCTCTTCACAGGTTCTGCGAATTTGCCTTGCACCACTGTAATTCTGTATGGCACAGACAAAACAACTTTTCCTCGCCTTTCTGACAAGAGCTAAGTCTTAAGACAAAAAATATCATAACACAGTCGTCTGAATGGAAGTACAAAGAGATTAAAAATGAGAAAACCCAAATTCTTACCTTGGGCAGGATCAGGGGGGCCAAACTCCAAAGAATATCGCAGAATGAAGTTGTTATTCCACACATACAGCTGGTTGTCTCTGGGGTTGTAATCCACTGCGGCGATGTACTGGTACTGGTTGGGGAAAGGAATGTCCACATGCTCGCCTCTGCTTAACCGGGTGTTGTAGATGTAATCAATGGCATTCTTGCCGGTCTCACTCTCATTGTCCTGATACACTGACCGCACTACATACAGGACACCACATATCATGAAAGCATTGGATGCTCCCCGCTTGTCGTATGTCGTTTCCCAAGTGGCTTCGAAACGCAGGGTGTAGGGATTCAGCTGGCTAAGTACTATCATCCCATTGTTTTGCTCCGTAGCATAAATTACCCATAAGCCATTTTCATCAACTGCCAAGTCAATATCAGTCTTTCCCCCCCATCGGTATGGAGAGGTGTCATGGTAATTAGCATAATTGATTATGGCCTCTCCACTCTTAATTCTAGTCCTCAAATCGAATTTTACTATGTTCCTAGTTCTTTCCTTGTTAAAAAAGACAGCGCCATCATACACTACAAATCCAGTGCCATCCACTCGATTCGGGAGTTTGTACGTCGTCTGCTGGCGTCCATTTTGGAAGTCCTCTAAAGAAGCATATTCTATCAAAGTATCGGTGCGATATGGAGTCCATGGCATGAAGTATATTTTATCTGCAGCCTGAAGAGGATCTTTGCACCAAGCACCTGCTTTTTGTTCAGCTTCATATAAATACGGTGAGTCCACAATTGCTTTCAACGTCCCCGGGCAAACAAAAACTAACAGTCACAGAGAGAAGTAAGACAAGAATTATGTCAAATTAAGACTTTCTCATAGTAAAAGGAAAAAAATAAAAGGAAAAAAAAAAGGTAGGTAAATCATAATGACTGTGTCAGGAAGAAAAAAAATCAATTTAATTGGCACTAGATTATACCTTATGTTATAATTAATGCAATTATCACCCTTTATCATCCACTTTTCTTAAAGTTACCATGTTCTTGCTGTACCAGTATGGAAAGTGGATGGGAACTGTTTTCACTAGTACAGACCAAGGCTCAATGGCATACACAGACAGCTGAAAATGTAGAGCTACTCCTGCATTTTCATCTTAGACTTTTAGTGAGTACGCATTAACGTTCCAGAGCTTTTAACTGGTGTGCAGCAGTGCGCTATGTCATTTCAGTCCAAAAAAAATCACATCAACTTGTTTAGAACTTTAAGAAGTGGTGAGGCTGAAAAAGGAGGTGCCTCGATTAAAAATAAAGGAACAAAACAAATCATCAGGTATATAGAGAAAGCAATTAGGAGCAGAGAAAACAAAACACAACCAAAGCAATGAATGAAACAGACCAGGAAACCCTGTAACCATGGCATGCTATGGAGAGGGTTCTGGAAGCCAGGCAAGATGACACTTGATTAACAAGAATTTACCCAAGGGTGAGAGAAAGAGAGGGAAAAAAAGACAAAGAGAAAGGGAGAGAAAAAAAGCAAGGGAGTCTTCCCTCCAGCCCAAGTATTTCAGACACTATACCCCGCCACCTACTTCAAGCAGCCAAGTCACTTTATTGCAAACAGTCGACTTCTTTATGAGGTGTACTTATGAGATCCTGCTGATTATCATAATATAAGAGTGTTGTGGGAAGGGGAAGGGAAGAGGTTAACATCCATAAGGCACATAACAAGGAGCTGGGGTTTGGACTGTATACGTTATTTACCTTTTTGCTCCACTTCTATTTTAAGCATCGGAAGAAAAATAAAAAAGTGCAAGGAAAAAAGAAAGAAGATTAACATAAATTGACTATTAATCTAAAGATTAAATTAGTAACAGACGCTAAATATAGGGAGAATAAGAACTGCACTATATTGGATAAAGAGAAACAGACAACAGGAAAACCTAGCAGGAAAGAGATTCTACGGTTACATAAGTGAACACGGATCAATCATTCTAGTAGATTAAGGAGGCAATACAGATATGTTGGCATGTAGTTTCACTTAGTGAACCTGAATAAATAATGAATTACTTTACTAATGCATGCTATACATATTCTTCTTCTTCTCAAAGTATAATGCTATCAAGTTGGTTTTTAAGTGCCACACTGATTTATCATATATGTGTGAGTGCACATATACATATTATGTTAATTACGTAATTATAAGCACAAAATGCAGCATATTAATTATATAGGTTTGTATGTGTGCTTATTAAACCTTCTCCCATCTTTGCCCCAGACACCCCTCTGCTTTTCTTTCTTGTAAAGAAAGCAGCTTGCATCCTTTGGCTCTCCTTAGGCTTTATTTTATTTGTTTTCCTGAATGTTATCTTGAGAACTTTTGCCACTTCTTAGTCTATAACTGCAAAATCACACTAGAAGGAATAAGCAAAAACATCTAGAAAAAAGAAGCAAAAGCACAGTAAACAAGAGGAAAAGAGAAGAAAAAATTAACATTTAGCTCATTCAGATATTCTCCAGCACCATCGATTAAGCCCGAAACAGCAAGCTAGTATGCAAGGACAGTCATACTAAGTGTTTAAACAAATATCCACCCCGCCACACCATACATGGAAATTACAAACCGAACTCGATTAACAAAGTTATATTACTATAGCAATTTTTCCCAAAGGAAGTTTTAAGCAACATGTTACAGGAAAACATATAGCTGAAGTCCAGCTAGTAAATAGCTTTTCAATAATTATTTGCAATAAAATCTATTTCATATACTCAGTAGACTTTGAAGTAGGCTCCCTTAGTTTCATAAAATGAACTGGAAAATGACAGATGTACCAATCTGTGTAACAGTAGCTGCTGATACCAAGGAAGTGTATCAAAACTATCTGCACAGCTATTACCTTTTCAGTATTATCCTGAAGAATGTATGTTTCACATAAAGTTTTGGATTTTCAGTTTCATTTAACAAAATTACATATGATTATCTTGAGAGAATGGTATTGTCTGAGCTGATCTAGTGTTTCTTCAGGGAACAATTCCAAAACTTTATGAGGGAGTGGGAGGGGGTTCACATTCTCAAAATGAGCAGTACTTTTCCTAGCCTTTGTTCATTTATACATCTTTAGGTAAATACTTTTTCTTCTGCAATTTGTTACTCTTGAGTTACCCAAGTAAACAGAAGATGTATTCTGAGGTGAATTCCTGCGTTTCACAATCAGTGTTAATGACTTTCAGATGATTCTGTTTGTGAATTTTTATGCATGAGTTTATTCCTTGCCAAAGCACAATATTGATATTGTACCTGCTTAGAATTAGTAATAGGAGAGGGGGAAGAAGATAGGGATACTAAAATCATTACTGGCATGTCTGCTCTGTGTGCTTTGGTGTACAGCTGTACATTTTTCAGGGACAGATGGGCTTATTGAAATAAACAAATGCTGCAAAGTCCAATCAATACAGACAGAGAGAGAATAAAACACTTAAAACGTTTTCTATTGAATTCCTGAGACCAAAAAAAAGCTTAAAATAAAAATGCACAGATGTACAAAATGGTACTTTTGATGTCCTTCTTTATAAAAGGGCTGACTTCTGTTATTCAGTCAAAGCGTCAACATACATTGTGCAGCATAATTGACATAAATGTCAAGTATGGTACTCTCAATTTCTTAGTAATTTAATCAATAACACCCTTATTTTAGGACAAAGCAATGTCTATCAAATATGTTAAGAATTTTAGTTCCAGAGAAGTATCATTGAGATAGCTGGGGGTTTTTTTGTCTACACTTTGAGATGCAAAAAAGGAAGTTTTTAATTAAGTACTTTCTTATGAGGGTGACCAGTGTAGAACCCAGAGAAAGCTCAATCAGTATGTATTATCAGCCAAGCAGCTATGTATTTCTGGAGGCCAGCAACACACAGAGGAGCTCATAAACTGCATTTTGTACAAGGGTGACACCAACTCCAGTATGTAAGAACTCCCGACTTTCACCACAAAACCTGGTATGATTGCTGTTTGTAATCTTTCATGGTCTGAAAGGTGCCACAGTGAGACAGAGCAAAATTTGCAGTCTTGAAGTAACTGAAGATGAAGTTCAGAAAAAGTAAGAAACTCACTGAACTTTTTGTTAGAAATGCTGTGATCACTAAACCCCTCCCTTCCTAGGCCCACAAAAGCCTATCCCGCCTTCCTAATAAGTCTCTTATGCTGGGACAGATGCTATTTGCAAACCTAATGATTTCAGTCATTCCGTACGCTTAGATATGGAGCACTGGAACAAGTAAGGGAGAAAAAAATCAGACATGGTAACTGGAATTTATCAAGCATCAGAAAAAAGTGACTTGGAAAAATACCAGAATAGGCTTTGTGGGACAGGGAAGAAAGATGGTCAACAATCAAAACGGCTACTGAAGCATAATGTGGTTTGAAATCAAACTTCCAAACTGATTATAGCAACTGGCAACCTTTTTGATGACTGCTGGTAATGACGAGTGATGCCTCTTACAATTCTGGAATTTGGCATAATGTCATCACTGTACATGCTGCAGTTGACAAACTCAAAAACTTAAAAGAGACTCTGAAATACAAGAAGCATCCAGAATCCTGAATTATGATAGACACAGAATTACATAATTCAAAGGCTAGGCCAATGCAATTGACAGTAAACAAAAATAAACATTTAAAAAGTAGAATATCTACATGTTAGAACACAGGGTAGGCAGCGTTGTGGCACTATACTTCAGAAAACTGGAAAAGAAAAGGTTCCTGTAGATAGCAATACCCAATCGGTAGAACATATCCACACTTCTCTTCCTAAAACAGCACAAAAAATTATGTTTGAACATTATTTGCATTACGCTTTTTCTCTACGAGCTAGCCTACTGGAACTGGAAACGTAACCTCTTGTCATTTGACTGACCTCATGGTTTGGAATCAGATGCACTGCCCTCTTTCTGAGAATTTGGGAATGAAAATAATGCTAAAGTGGAAATGATCTTTATGGAACAAAACTTCGGTTAGATTAGGGTAAGACATAACTCCTCAAAAGTGGCACGAGAAGAACACTTAGAACAAGCCACCGATACTACACACAGGAGGAATGGTACTAGGGATCACTGTATGCAGTAGGCTTCCAATCCTACAAATGGTACAGGAAAAAAAATCAGCAAGCAACCATTTCACAATGACACAGCAGAAATGAAGAAAAAAGAGATGATCTGTGTTTGGCCTTTAACAACAGTGAAGGTTCAGTGTGGTGAAGCAGTATAAAGTAGTGTTTTGGTTTAAGACGTCTAAATTTAGAAGTTGTGCAGGAAACAGCACGGACAGTTTTGACATAGCTTTGCTTATGTCAGAACTCAATTCCTTCCTTTTTTGGATATATACTGTCACCACAGTGTTTTTGCATCTCAGACTTGGCCTGTTTCCTGTACCAACAGAAAATGTGACTTTGGTTAAGGATTACTGCAGATTGAGAAATTCACACTTAATAGTAACTTAAGGGAATGATCAGTGCACTGCTCAAATTCCACTGCAAACACAGCTATTTCTCTGTTGAATTACAGGACGAGGGAGAAGTCACTGCAAAGAATGACCTTACAAGAAAGCAAATCCAGTTAAAAGTGTTGAATCTGCAGAACTCTTATAAACATGCATGCATGTCAATGAAGAAAAGCATTAATTATTGCAAGGAAGTAAGAAGTATGTCTAAAGCTACTGAATTTTGGCAACAGAAAGAATATTGTACAGAACTTCAAATTTCTCTATCTCAATATGATTTCAGTATTTGTTTTCAGTGAAAAATTCTGTTTTGACAGCTAATTCAAGGCACAATTTTTATTTTTCCTTTACATTAAAAGTAAACATTTCTTTCTCACTCTTTTCCCCATTGCTTTTAAGAACCAAGTTTAAGTAACTTGTTGATTAATTATTCACTCTGAATTTGTGTTCACTTCTATGTGCCCCTGAAGCACAAAGTCATTTTAAAATGTCCCCAACCAGGTCATTTGCCTCCGAGTGTCAGTGTTGCGTTTTGCTGTGCACCCAAATTCACCACAACAGCAGGTAGCCTTTCAAGTAGATCATGATTAAAATTGAAGTCAATTCCTGCTTTAGAAGTCTGTGAGCCAAGCCAATTTGTCAGCAACTGGTAGCGGGCAAAAGTACAAATTTCTATCTGGCCTATTGAATAGCTAATTTGAGTTTGTTTTCTGGAAAAACAGTAGCCTTAAAAGCCAAACACTTAAGAACACAGACAGACACTTGGCCAGCATCACACCATGGCTTCCTTCCACACTTCGTGAAGCTAATTGGAGGCCCTAGTCTGCAAGTGCTCTGCATGCATAATGGATCCGTAGGCCATAAACATATGCTTCTTTTCCATGTAACAGCACTCCAGCTTTAATTGTGAGGGCCAGAGGAAGTGAGCAAGAATAAAAAGATTATACTTACTGTAAGGAACACATTCATACTGAACTTCTAGATACTTGTATGTTCCAGGACAAGGATCAGGAAATACATCTGATCCAGTAACTACTATACACTGTGTTCGGTTGTTGCACCTGTAATGGGAAAAGCAAGCAAGCTAATTAATTTAAAATTACATTTAATTTGCAAGTTCATACTAAGGTACTATATGCAGTGCTAACTCACTTCACACTTGGGCAGTCCAATCCATAAGACAATTATTATAAATCCATAAAGTCAATTAATACTAGATCAGTCAAAGTCCATAAATAAGGCTTAAAGACAATATTTAATTTCAGGCTTTATACTTTTAAATTTGGAGATGAGTGTTATCTCAAATGTCACTTGTTGAAACTGATAAAAGATAGCTGTCCCAAATATATACTGATTTGATACTACTGGTCAAAAAAATCAAAGCAAAATGCAAAGATGCTACAAAATGAAAAAACGTGTAATTTTGAACACATACAATAACACAAATGAGCAATTCTTCCCATCTTTAGAGATATACATTCTCCTGAATGGTTTAACATTTCAGGGAAATTATTTTGGTTGGAAGAGTTACTGTAGGCAAAGAGCATTAGCATTTCCACTTTAATTATTTTACGAGGATTGGTGGACTCTAAGCTTCCTCTGTTAGGGTACAGGAAGAGGTAAAGAATGACTGAGGAAATAAAAACAATTGAAAAGAACAACTGCAAGAAAATTAATTAAGACGTATTTTAGAGGAGACTGAGTAAGAAACATACATATGACTTGCGTAAAAACGGAAGTCAGTACATTGATAAAAAGATAAGCTTTATTATAATGCCTCTAATAATAAGAGATTTTAGAGTAGTATTGCCTTTTGGGGTGGGGGGGGGAACAAACCAACTTGGAAGTTAAAAGTAGAAAAACAATAACCCTGGAGAGATGGTCAAAATGTAATACGGAAAAATTGTCAGAATGAAAAAAAAAAGGTCAGGGAGTTTGGTGACTAAAAGAAAAGGAGCTTGCTGATCTTCTCAGGGGTTAGTTTTGTTTGTCAGCAAACTGAATAACAGAAGTCTGAATTTAAGTAATAGTCTAGCCTTTGACTCCAGCTGTACATCAACTCCTCTATTGCCCTGCTACTTCCCACACTCCCTGAATACCACATCCCAAGCTAAAATAATCTATCTTGTATCAACGGCTTTCAACAGCTGTACGTTGCCAACAGGTATAAGAATAATTCACACTACCTCATAAAAGGTAGAGCAAGCACATTTGAACAACTCTGATATAAATCACTTTCCTTTTTATATACTAATCAAACTAGCACAGAGCTGGTAGGACATGCTGTGCCTCTTGCTGAGCAAACTCAGGAACAACAACTCTTCTGACTTGATCAGTTAATTCTTCTTTTCTTTTTCTTTTTTTTTTTTGCTGATTTCCAGCCTCATAAGGCTAGTTAACTGCAGAACTACTTGGAAATAGCCAGGAATTTCTGCATATATGCACAACCATGAATACAGATAGATGGTGAGGAATTCAACCTGTCGCCTCTGCGCTGCTTGTAGCAGTGACTTTCTGGGAAGCACGAGGCAGGTCCCCTGTACAGCTATCGCACAGGTAATGCTGCACCCCAGTAGCACTATTACTCAGTGCAACAGCTTGCCCAGTATATTAGAGTCTGGAATGAGTATGGCACACACAATAGCTTTCAGACCCATGATGAAGTGATGAAATGTGCACCCAACTTGCAGAGAAAATCACTGTATTGAATCTGTAATACTGAAAATGTGCAATACAGCCACTTTTTTGTACTCACACGAAGGTCAAAGTGCTGCTCTCATGTGTGTTGTGTAGGAGGCTGTAAAAGTAGGAGACGGCAATATGGCCCAAACCTCATCAGCCAGTCTGTTCTAACTGTTCGGGGATTTTTATGCCCCACACCTCAGGCCAGACTAACCAGCATGAAAAAACTTTTGATGTAAGATTTTGTAATTTATTTCTTTAAATTTCTTTCTCTTTCCTCAGTGAAAACCTTAAGCTGAAATCAAAATAATTCCCATAAAAAGACTGCACAGTGCATCATTCAGCATAGTGGTTTCCACAGCTTGGAGCTGTATGAAAATTTCATTTTTCACTTGACTGAGCGGCAATTAAGAGAGAAATATTGATTTGTTACAAAATAAAATGGATACATATTGGGAGAAACTGCTTGAGAATGAAACTGATGAAGGTCATATTTAGCTGTGGGAAAAAAAGTTCTATTAGAAGTATTTGTAAATTTTATTAAAAAGATGGACTCTTGTTTTCCTATAAAAAGTTGTTTTCGTCTTTTTCATTTTCCCCCAGTAAAAGACTCATAATGTTGCCTTCAGTAAGAAAACTAAGAACTTCATGCTAGCATGTATCAAAAGGATGCATAATAATAATAATAATAATAATAATTCAGAACAAAATGCAGTGTATTTTTCTTTGTACAGTGCCAGTGTCAAACTTCAGTCATTAAGTGGTGTTTACAGGAAGCTGCTGACCTTCTAAAAAATTCCGACTATTTCTTCATGCAAGATTTCACCTGCTGTGCATATGGTCACCTTTTGCTTACCTTTGGCCAAAATGAAGGAGACCCCGATTCCAAAACAATGAGCTGTGCCCACTTCTGCAGTACATAGCAGTGCTACAAAGCACACCATCAGCTTGCAGAAGTGCAATTACTTGGAAAACTAAATGAATAGAAGGATTTGTGCTTTAAATTGCAGGGTTTTTACATTCAAATCACTGATTTTTGCTACATTGCCGGTTGCGTTTTATAAAACCTGAGTAATTATAAGGTTCTGATTTTCATGTACTTCTAAGATTTTAAATTAAAGATACCTGATTAAGATAGTCACATTTTTAGAAGTCAACATTCAGGTAACTACATGTTACACAGTTAGTGGTCATACTGCAATTCCAGTGAAACCTTCAAATAAAACCAACAGCAACTACAGCAGCTGTCAACCCCAATTCATGGGTGACAGAGATGTAGAGTAAGAGGACTTTGTAAAGGTAGCTCTGAGACAAGTAATTCAGGGAATTTACACTCCTGCAACTTATTCTCTGGATAAATGAAAGTCTTCTGTCTGCTGCTTTGTTTTTTCCCCCTGTAAAACCAGGGATACTAACTTCTCTACTAGTTATTTGCCTGCTGCTCTGCTGCTGCATGCAAAAACCATTCTACAAACTGATAGAGGTTTCGGTTGAGCTTCTTTAAGACAAGAAGCACTGAATTCTGTGGTATATTGGACTAAAGATACTCCACTCTCCATAACACAGCACTAAACAGCAGATTATCCTACACAGCTACAGATCATCAAAGCTACTACATCACTGCTGTAGCAGAACTTCCTAATTTTGACAAACCTTTAGACTTAGAAACACTATATCCAAAGAAGAGGATATACACTGCTGCTGTGACTTCTTTTCATTCTATTTTGTAATGGGCAAGCCCCTTCTGAGTGAAGCCATTTCATGAGATTTTCCAAAACAAGACTGTAGCAGATGTAAAGTTCCTTGTGATTTGCAAAACTGGCTTACACACCACCACGAGGAAAAAATAAATTACAAACCTCAAAAACCTTAACTGGAAATAACTTCAAGTCCCTCATTCATTTTAACCGATATTATTTTTTCTACCATTTGTTTGGTCGAACTATTTAAAAACTCCTTTAGAATTGTTCCAAGGAAAGCATGATACAAACCAGCTCTGATCTCTGTAAATTTAAGAAGTCAAATCACAAATACTCTAGTGTTTTAGTGTCTGTAATCTAGTGTTTAAGTTTTCTGTAGGTTTTAAGTACCATTTAAGTGTTCTGTAATCCACTTAACTGCATACTTCCATAGCATACATTAAAATACGCAATTTCTCAGGTTTTTATGTACAGTCTTAAAATTCATACAACCTTACACTAAGAGATATCTTCATGCTTAAGACACAATATTCACAAAGATTTATGATACAATGACTTTGTCATTTACAAGGAAATAAAGCAGATCTGCAAAGAACTCTATACAAACTCAGTAACTATTGATTTATGAAACGTAATACATGAATTAAATTGGAAACCCTAGTTAGGAAAAGACTAACTGTAGCACTAAAGGGATGATAATTCAGGTTGTGCTAGCAACAGTGAGTTTTGCAAGGGAAAATGTAGGAAGTATCACTATTCTCATGAATGCAAGGAACAACTGTGTAACTCTTAACACTCGTTTCTTCAGTATTTTATTATGAATGAAGAAAGGTTACATTTTCACAATGCAGATGCATAACAGAGTAATCTAGAAATCAAATGGAGTGTTTAATTAACAGTTACAGTACAATGTCTGAACTCCTTTCACCTCAGGAAGAAAACTGTGCAAATGAGAAATGGCCCTTTCACATTTCAGATGAATACAGAAAAAAAGGAAAGTAAAGCAGTTCCAGCAGGGCTGTTAGCAAGTATCTTCTGCTCATGAAATAGCCATGTCCCTGCTACACCCCACCCCTTCTGTGTTCAGTTTTAAGGAGAGCTGTACTTTCCATGATAATTTGTTTGCATTTCAACTCTAATCTTGACTTGTACGATTTCCAACAAATTGCTTTTGCTCTTTTTTTATTATCTTATGCTTATTATTGCACTCTTCCATGTGCAATGTATGGAGATGAGATTCCACGTGCAACCTATTGTGTGAGGTGTTTTAATCAATAATCTTGTTCTGCTGATTAAGCAGGGGCTTCTGTTTTGGCAAGATAACATTAGTTTCTCCTGTCATGCTCCAAAAGCTATTGGGAATCTTCAGCAGATCATTAGATATGCTACAATAAAGCTTTGGTACCTTCTCTTTTCTTTCTTAAATTACTTCTTCACTGTCCTATCATTCCCCGTCACCGCTGGCACTGCATTATTATTACAGCTCCCCAGAAACTTGCACTAGAGCTATGTCTCCAGGCCATAGGATGCCATTTTCAATTGAAGCTTCTGCTTGAAAATATAAATTAAGAAAATTTCATTATCTCCTGCCAAGGGCCATTATTCACCACTGTTCTAAGGAAGATTAAAAATGCAAAATCTATGGACTTGAACAAATACTCCAGCACTAAAATGAAAAA